CTCTCACTATCTCTCTCTCTGTCAAATAAATAAAATCTTTTTTTTTTAAGATTTATTTACTTGTTTGAAAGAGAGAGAGAGAAAGAGATCATGTGGAGGGGCAGAGGGAGAGAAGCAGACTCCCCACTCAGCACAGAGCAGGACACGGGGCTTGATCCCAGGGCCCTGAGATCATACCCTGAGCTGAAACCAAGGGAGTCAGACCCTCAACCGACTGAGCCACCCAGGCGCCCCTCAAAGTGATGACAATATATAATAAGCTTATGCCCTATTACAGGTTGCTCAGCCAGACCGTGTGGGACATGAACAGAGAACAGGAGCCCTGCCTGCAGCACTGGCTTCCCAGCAAGTTCACTAGAGGGTGGGGAAGAGTAGGAGTTAGTGAATGAAGTAGAGGGCGTGGAGCAGCCATCCCTAACTGGGTATCTCAAGGGGGTATCAGGTGCCTTCTGACCAAAGGTGACCTGTGTCACTGGGAATTGTCAGCCTTGGTGCCAAGAGAGGACCTGTAGAATCCAGAAGCAATGATGCGTATGGGTGAGATGGCAAGCATCTTACAGAACGGAACTACTAGATAAGGGGTAGTATTTTTTATGCACTCATTATCTAAAAGGGTTAACCTTTTCTGGGCACATTCTACAGAAAAGTCAAATTTAGTTAAACTTGAAAATAAATTTCCTGGCCCCCTAAAGTAATGGTGAGAGAGGGACAGTACGAAAGGCTTGTCTTTATCTCAGCAGTCGGTCATTCACTTTGCTGTCGCCAAAGCAAGCATTACATGCCCCCTGCAGTGGTGCCGTTAAGCACCCTTTCCCCAACCAGAGCCGAATTTACAAACACACTTCTTTTCTGAGCCTAACCCCCACGCAAAATTTTACTCCTCCTCTATGAGAGCTGCTTGGAGATTATTACACAGGTACTTTTACTGGTACCTTAAAGGAGTTTACCATTTCATGAGTCCAAGAGCCCTTTTCCTCTGACTCTCTGCTTGATGACAGACCTGATAGTAACTTCCTTTGCCAATTCTTTGAAGGTTTCTGGAAGCATCTGAGTTCTTATGGCCTGTCCTTTATGGTCCTCTCTGGGTGCAAAGCTCTTCACTGTCTATATATGTTGGGTGTCCCTCAAAAAACTATCACTTTCTGTGTAGACCCAGAGTTGATGCCCGAGGAGAATTTAGAAACCCAAGGGGAAGGATTGGAGACTAGAACAATAATGGGAAGGGGGAAAAAAAGCAAACCTGGAAACAAATATAAATGAGTAAGTAATTCGTATTAGGATGGACTGATGGAGGGACAACCTGGATGTTAAAGGGTTTGTTTATGGAGGCTTCTGCTGAGAGGCAGACTGGACCATAGGGCAAGGTACCTAAAGTGCATTGTGACCAGGAGGGAGTGGAGAATGTGTCCGGGAACCAAGTCTAAGGTGCCTCAGGGCCAGACAAGTTTAAAAATAAGAAAGGCTTCAGAGGAAGTGGCAGTAAGTTGAGAATTTAGCCAGAATATGAGTGGGGGAGAAAACAAACAAACTTTAAAGTTTGCAGGAAGATCCTGAAGTGAAGAGTCTGCTATTTTTGAGTAACCAAAAGGCCAGGGAAGAGAGAGTTCAACGAGAAAAGGTGGAGTGAGTGTGGGGTGAAATGAGTTTGGAGAAACAGGTGGGAACTAGATCATGCAGTCTTATAGGTGCTGCCAAGTATTTTGGAAGGAATCCTCAGTGCAGTGGGAAACATCTGGGGGATTCTTAGGCAGGAGAGAGACATGTTCGTATATGTGTTTTACCAGGATCTCTAGTCTATGGAGAACAAATTGGGTGGGAACCCAGCAGATTGTGAAAAGGGCAGTTAAGAAGCTAATGCAAGAATACAAGGGAAACCAGGTGGTGCCTTAGGTTTGACATTTTAAACAAAACCAACATTTAAAGGACGAAGAGGAGCTCCTGGCTGGCTAGGTGGGAAGAGCCTGCGACTTTTGATCTTGGGGGTCATAAGTTCAAGCCCCCACATTGGATGTAGACATTACTAAAAAAAATAAATAAACTTAAAAAAAATAAAGGACAAAGAGGCTGATTTGGTCAGAAAGAAAATAAATCTGCTCATTTAAAAGCTAGGAATTGGAAATTGGCTTTACACTAAAGTGGCTTTTAAACATTTTAGCTATAAATCTGAGCCCAGAAGAGATCAGTGTTTGGTATCTTTGTTTGGAAAAAAAAAGTATGACCCAGAGAAATATAACCAAGGAACATTGTACTCAGAAGTTACCTTAAGTCATGGATTTCCTAGTTGAAATAAAGGTGGAAAAATCTGGACAAGTTCCAGTAAGAAAGGTAAAACTTATTTAGAATTAAGAACTATTTGATGGAGAAGGCTAATGGAAGCGTAACTGTGTTTAACCTATAATTTTGTTTGTAAATAAATACTGTATGAATGTGTTGAGCTGCACTTTCCATTAAAAAGAGGAAAAGAGGGGCGCCTGGGTGGCTCACTTGGTTAAGCGACTGCCTTCTGCTCAGGTCATGATCCCTGAGTCCCGCATCGGGCTCCCTGCTCAGCAGGGAGTCTGCTCCTCCCTCTGACCCTACCTCTCTTGTGCTCTCTCTCTCTCACTCTCTCTCTCTCAAATAAATAAAAAATAAAAAAATAAAACTCTTCAAAAAAAATAAAATAAAATGTTAAAAAAATAAAAAGAGGAAACGAATGAATGGGTTCAAATTGCAACCAGAGGGCTTTGAGCAGGATGTTGTAAATATTTGTGCTTTTTTCGTTTTGGGGTTTTTCTGGTTTTGGGGGTTTTTTTAGAGAGAGAGCCGTGCATGTGCGTGGCCGGGGGTGGGGGGGAAGAGCAGACGGAGAGAGAGACTCTTAAGCAGGCTCCACACCCAGTGCAGAGATGGACTTGGGGCTCAATTTCATGACCCTGAGGTCATGACCTGAGCCAAAATCAAGAATCAGATGCTTAAATCGATTCAGCCACCCAGGTGCCCAGAATATTTGTTTTTTAACTATAATGGTTGTGAGGGGCACCTGGGTGGCTCAGTTGTTAAGTGTCTGCCTTCGGCTCAGGTCATGATCCCAGGGTCCTGGGATCGAGCCCCGCATCAGGCTCCCTGCTCGGCGGGAAACCTGCTTCTCCCTCTCCCTCTCCCTCTCTCACTCCCC